AATGGTTTTGGTCTAAGGTAGTGAGACCAATGATCAAGTGCTCTAACTATGGCATAGAACTCACGGTCATAAGTGGAATAGTTCAACTTAGCCCCATTCAACTTCTCACTAAAGTAACTCACGGGCTTCTTCTCTTGAATCAAAACAGCACCTATTCCAATCCCACTTGCATCACACTCTACCTCAAACACTTTGTTGAAATCTGGTAGCACAAGTATAGGAGCGTTGCAAAGCATATGTTTAACCTTCTCAAAGGCTCGTTGAGCATTTTCTTCCCATACGAACTCACCCTTTTTGGTCAACTCGGTGATTGGAGCCATGATGGTAGAGAAGTTTTTGATGAACCGCCTATAGAAGGAGGCAAGTCCATGAAAACTTCTAACTTCGTGCACATTGGTTGGAGCCAACCAAGACTGGACTGCTTTTACCTTCTCCGGATCTACATGAACCCCCTCTCCTGTTACAATGTATCCTAAGAATACAACACTAGGAGTCATGAATACACATTTTTCAAGCTTACCATACAACTTCACCTCCCTCAATTTTTCAAACAATCTCCTCAAATGAATTACATGATCATCATTGTTTTTACTATACACAAGAATGTCATCTAAGTAAACAACAACAAAATCATTAAGAAAAGGACGGAGAACTTCATTCATCAATCTCATGAAGGAGCTTGGGGCATTGCAAAGCCCAAATGGCATCACTAACCACTCATACAACCCTTGTTTTGTTTTGAAAGCCGTCTTCCACTCATCCCCCTCTCGAATTCTCATTTGATGGTACCCACTCCTTAAATCTATTTTGGAAAAGACTAAGGCACCACTCAACTCATCTAACATATCTTGCAATCGAGGCATAGGAAAACGGTATTTGACCGTTATATTGTTAATGGAACGACTATCAACACACATTCTCCAAGTACCATCTTTTTTTGGTACTAAGAGGGCTGGAACCGCGCAAGGACTAAGGCTTTCTCTCACATAACCTCTCTCAAGTAATTCGTTCACTTGCTTTTCAAGTTCCTTACTCTCTTCCGGATTACACCTATAGGCAGCCTTGTTGGGCAAAGGTGCTCCTGGAATTAAGTCAATGGCGTGCTCAATGCCTCTAATTGGAGGTAGGCCTTTGGGCAAGTCATTGGGGAACACATCTTGGTACTCTTCTAATAACTCATTTAGCATGGATGAGTTAATACAAGTAGTACCATTATCATCTTTGGTCCTTACCACCAAAGCATACCCTCCCCCCATTTCTTTCATTATTCGTTCATATTCATTACAAGTTACAAGATAGTTGCTTTTCTCTTTTTCTTTCTTAGCAACTTTAGGAGGTAAAGGCACTAACTTAACTTTTCTACCATTTTTGGTAGTTACAATATACACATTAGTTTTCCCTTTATGCTTCGAATCATGATCAAACTGCCACGGTCTTCCAAGCAACAAATGACACGCATCCATAGGAAGAATATCACACCAACGCTCATCTTCGAACCCTCCAATGGAATAAGACACCAATGCTTGCTTCTTGACTCTAATGCTTGTGCCATCATTCAACCAATTGAGCTTGTAAGGTTCACCATGGTCTCTAGTGGGTAGCTTCAATTTACTCACAGCCTCGGATGAAACAACATCTGTTTGGGCACCACTATCAACAATCACATTGCAAGTCTTCTCTCCTATCTTGCATCTAGTGTGGAACAAGTTGTTTCGTTGTTTAAGATCAATTTCGGGTTCATTATACAAGATTCTACGAACCACCATCATGTTGAACTCATCTTCGGGTTGAATCTCTTCCTCATACTCTTCATCAAACTCGCAACCCTCCTCATGAGCCACAAAGTTATAGACCTTTTCTTCCTCATCCATGAGAGCACATTGAGAGGCTGTTAACACACTCTTACTAGGACATTCCGATGCAATATGTCCTCTCCCATGACACTTGAAGCATTTTCTCCTAGTTGAAAGCTCACTAGGCGAAACTACTTGTTTTTCTTTCCCTTTTGATGAGCTAGGTGAAAAGGTTTTACTTTGAAAAGTACTCCCTTTAGAGTTGAAAGGAGTAAATTTCGAAGTATTCTTGAAAGAAGAAGTTTTGGGCTTCTCTTTCTCCTTTTCTTCTTTAAGTTGAGACTCATACTTCAAAGCTAGTTTGCATACATCACTAAAAGTGGCATAATGAGTAACTTCCACTTTCCTATTAATTTCTTTGGTCAACCCCTTGACAAATCTAGCAATTTTGTAAGCCTCCTTTTCTTGCAAGTCGCAAGTCAAGCCTAACCTTTCAAATTCTTTTATGTAATCCTCCACACTCATGTTTTCTTGTGATAGGTGGGTTAATTTTAAGTATTGATCTTGTTCATACTCTTTACTTACCCATTTTTCCCTCATTTTCTTTTTTAATTTTTCCCACGAGTCTATCTTATCTTTCCCTTCTCTTCTTCTATTTGACTTGAGGTTTTCATACCACAATGCAGCTAGTTTAGTGAGTTTAAGGACAGCCAACTTGAACCGTTTCCTATCATCATACCCCTTGTAATCAAAAACGGTTTCAATTTGCCTAACCCAATCTAAGAAAGCCTCACAATCATGCCCTCCATCAAATTCATGCATATCAATTTTTAGACCCCTATCTTCATCAAATTGTCTAAAATTGTTACCACTATTTTCATCCTCCTCCTCTAATTCATTTATTTTCCTAGTGGCTTTAAGGAGCATATCAGATATGGCATCCATCCTAGTATCTTGTTGTGCCCTAGAGACTTCACTCTCTTCTGTTTTTTTCTCCAAATTCTCCAATTTTTCAGTGATTACTTGCAACATTCTAGCAAGCTCCTCACTAGACATGATTTCCACTATTTTGCTTGGATATTACAAGTACAATGAAAACTGCCGAAATTAGAGACAAAATGAAAAACGAAAAGTGCCTCTAGACTCTCAAAGGCTTACAAATTCAGAATATTCAGATCAAAACAACCAATTTTCAAAAAAGAAATTCCTCAAAAGCTTTTCGGATGAGGGAGAAATCTTCAATTGAATTCTGCCTTCCTGGTTTTGCCTCTTTTCTGCGCTGCTGCGAAAAACCTGCCCAGTTTATTAGCAGAAAGATTCCAAAATATCTGAAAATTTTTGTGAGTAATCTACGCAAAAAAATATCCAGATTCAAAAAAGAAATAACTCGATTTGGACAGAAAACGAAGGAGATATGTCCTTCTCAAACCGCAACTCCAAACTGATTGAATTCTGCCGTTTTGCTCCAAACGCCTTCAAACTCGATTTTCTTTAAGAAAACCCTTAACTAGGCTCTGATACCAGATGATGTAAATCTAAATACCTGACCAAGATGGTCAAGGGTCAATCATCCATGGTCAAGATAAGGAAGTCCAAAACGGTGCTAGTGAGCAAGGTACTGATGGAATCTTTTTGTCCAAATCATTCTTCAATCCAATGCACGGTTTTAGTCCAAAGAGTTTAACAAATGGTTACACTTCTCTTAGTGTAACTAATCTTGTTGAAGGCATCTAGTTAAACTGATGGAATCTTTTTGTCCAAATCATTCTTCAATCCAATGCACGGTTTTAGTCCAAAGAGTTTAACAAATGGTTACACTTCTCTTAGTGTAACTAATCTTGTTGAAGGCATCTAGTTAATGTGTCGTTTTTCCAAGCTTGAAGCCACGCATGATTGATGCATTTGAGAGTTACATTGGACTGATTATGAAGGCGTGATTCAAGGCTTGTGTTGGGCGTGAATTAAGGCATTGGTTGGCTGATTATTCTACCTCTTTACTTGGGGGTTATTTGTACTTAATTAGAGAGTTGTTGCTGGAATAAAGGAGCTTGAATCAAGGGTTTAAATGGGAGGTTACAAGCGTGACTCAAGGGGGCTGTTTGCACGTTTCTTGGACGTTGAAGATGCTCTTTGAAGACTTCATGTTTGCTGAACGTTTCCTCTTTAATTTAAGCATAGTTTTAAGCTTAATTGAGTAGTTTTATTTTGTTGTTATGAGGGATTAATTGGACGGTTATATGAGCCTCTTAATCACCTTATAGTTAGTATCTTATTTTGTCTTTTAAATTAGGCAAGTGATGGATGATCATTAAAAGTTGTAAAGAGGAATCCCATGTTCCTTTATGTAACTTATACACTACTATAAATAGTGTGCTATGCATGAATGAAAAGTATCCAGAAATTTGCTTAAACACTTGTGTTTTGATTGATTAAACGTGACTTAGTAACTAGTCATTTTTAAGGTCCAAGTTTGTTAGCTCAAATTTGAAGAGTGCTAGTTTTGGTAGAGTGTTCCCAAACCTAGGAGCTTGCGTAGTGAACGAGTGGGTTGAGTGTTCCCTATTCCTAACTACACCAAGCAAAGGGTGAGTGTTCCCCTTTGTTATATCCGAAGCTAGGGTGAGTGTTCCCCTATTTTCACCTTCATTGTTCACGATTTCACTAAGACCCCTTAACACATACTTTTGTAACAAGGTTCTCATCTTGTTTACACATCATTTGGCGCGTCAGGTAGGGGGTGTTTTTCTAAACATTTCCTAAGGGGTCGAATACCTACATACCATGGGAGAAAACCCGGACTTAAGGACAGCGTTGGAAGCTCTTAATCGATCCATTGCTAGTCAAGAAAGGTTGGCCGAAACCAATGCCAATCTACAAGGGAACCTTGCTGCCTTGATGGCAAGGCTCATGAACGAGCAAGATAGGAGAGATCAAAATGAGGACCCTCCACCTAGGAGGGAGGATAGAAGCCTCAAAGTGGACGTTCCTTCTTTTGATGGGACACTTGATCCAGAGAAGTACTTGGAATGGGAGAAATCCTTGGAGAGGTACTTTGAATATAAGGACATTCATGAGGATGTACAACGTTTTAAGATTGCCAAAGTCAAGCTTAAAGGCTATGGTGATAGTTGGCTACAAGGAGAGCAAAGGGGACGTGCCCTTAGGGGGAAAGCTCCTATCTCTACTTGGGGTAAACTCAAGAAACGGATGAAAGACCGTTTCATCCCACACAATTACAAGCAAAGTCAATATGTGAAGTGGAGTACCTTGCAACAAAATGGGGACTCTGTGGAGGATTACATAAAAGAGTTTGATAGACTTGCTATTGTGTGTGAAGTAACCGAAAATGAAGAGCTCAAGATGGGGCGTTTCGTATCTGGTTTGGACCAAGAATTACAAGACAAACTTGAAGGTTATACTAACCTCACGTTTGTTGAAGCTTGCAAATTGGTGATTAAGTTCGATGCTAAGAGGAAAAAGAAGAAGCCTACTACCATCCCTCAATTGGCACGAAAACCTTCTTTCCCTACAAAGGAAGGTTCTTCCTTCAACAAACCAAGTAATCCACCAAAGAAGGACACCAAGGACGTGAAGCTAGGTGACATTGTGTGTTACAAATGTGGAGGACGAGGTCATTACAAGAAGGATTGTCCTAATACTAGGGCGTTAACCATACAAGAGGTTAAGCTCATGGCCACTCAAAACATCAACTGGGATGAGTTTGAGGAGGAGGAAGAAGAAGTTGAAGATGATTGTGATGATTGCATGGCCGAGCCAGAGGGGAAGACTAGCCTCGTGATTAGGAGGGCCTTGCAAGCACGTGTGGAAGAGGATGCTGCCCCCCAACGCCAACACATTTTCATCACCCGTTGTAGAATTGGTGACGAGGTATGTGATTTGATTATTGATGGAGGGAGTGAGGCTAATACCGTGTCTAAGACCTTAGTATCTAAACTTGGTCTAACTACTACTAATCATCCACAACCTTACAAGTTGAGTTGGTTAGATTCAAATGCTAGCACCGGGGTTAGGAAGCAATGCATGGTTTCTTTTTGTGTTGGTTCATATTGTGATTCTATATTATGTGATGTTGTGTCTATGGATGCTTGTCATATTCTACTTGGTAGGCCTTGGCAAACTGATAAAAAATCTATACATGATGGGTATCACAATACGTATACCATAGTCCACGAAGGGAGGAAGAAAAAACTACACCCTTTACCACCCCCACGGTTTTCACCATCACAAACCCCACAAAAAGAAGTATCCTTGTTGTCTCTTAAAGAGTTTGAGAGGGAGTTGGAAGGTGAGGGAGAGTTGTTCATGCTATACTCCAAGGAAACCCACGAAAAATTTGTTGCTCATAATCCTAGGTTAGCCCAATTGATTAAGGATTTTGAGGACGTTTTTCCGGATGAATTACCTAAAGGACTACCACCCATACGAGGAATTGAGCATCAAATTGATCTCATTCCCGGAGCACCCTTGCCAAATAAACCAGCCTATAGATGTAACCCTTTAGAAACTAAGGAGTTACAACGACAAATTGAAGAGCTAATGGGTATGGGTTATGTACGTGAGTCCATGAGTCCATGTGCCGTTCCTGCTTTGTTGGTCCCTAAGAAAGATGGTACTTGGAGAATGTGTATTGATAGTAGAGCCGTTAATAACATTACCATCAAGTACAGGTTTCCAATTCCAAGGCTTGATGACATGCTTGATGAGCTGAGTGGTTCCAAGGTCTTCTCAAAAGTAGACTTGAGAAGTGGGTATCATCAAATTCGCATGAGAGAAGGGGATGAATGGAAGACTGCGTTCAAGACAAAGCATGGGTTGTATGAGTGGCTCGTCATGCCATTTGGCCTTACAAATGCCCCTAGCACGTTCATGAGATTAATGAATGAAGTGCTAAGGCCATTTCTTGGCAAGTTCGTGGTAGTATACTTGGATGACATTCTCATTTATTCACGTGATGAAGAAGCTCATTTTGATCATCTTTTTCAAGTATTTTCTGTTTTAAGACAAGAAAAATTGTATGGGAAACTAGAAAAATGTGATTTTTTATTGTATGAAGTCATGTTTCTTGGCTATATAGTTTCAGGTGATGGCGTGAAGGTAGACCCTAGCAAAATTGAAGCAATTCAATCATGGCCTAGTCCAAAGACACTCACGGAAGTTCGTTCATTTCATGGACTTGCTTCTTTCTATAGAAGATTTATCAAGAATTTTAGCACACTCATGGCTCCTATAACTGAGTGTACTAAGAAGGGGACGTTTGAATGGACTACCCAAGCTCAAAAGGCCTTTGAAGAAGTCAAGGAGAAAATGTGCAACACTCCTATTCTCGCACTTCCTGATTTTTCCAAGCCATTTGAAGTTGAGTGTGACGCAAGTGGAAAAGGTATTGGTGCCGTGTTGATTCAAGGTGGGCGTCCTATTGCCTACTTTAGTGAGAAGATGAGTCAAGGCAAGTTGAATTACTCCACCTATGACAAAGAGTTCTATGCTATGGTAAGAGCTCTAGAACATTGGTCACATTATTTGAGGCCACAACCTTTCATTTTGCATTCCGATCATGAATCATTGAGGTTCATACATGGTCAAAAGAAGCTGAACGCAAGACACGCAAAGTGGGTCGAATTTTTGCAAACATTTAACTTTTCCTCTAAATACAAGAGTGGGAAAGCTAATGTGGTTGCGGATGCCTTGTCTAGAAGACATAATTTGCTTGGGATGGTTGAAGCAAAGGTACTTGGGTTCGATTTGATCAAGGAGTATTATCAAGAAGATGATGAACTCAAGGGGATAATTGAAAAATGTGTCCATGGAGTCTATGATCTGTTTTCCTTACATAATGGTTTTCTTTTTAAAGGAAATAGATTATGTATTCCAAAATGTCCCATTAGAAGTTTGTTGATACATGAAGCTCATGGGGGAGGACTAGCTGGTCACGTTGGTATTCACAAGACAATGGAGCTTCTCCAAGCTCACTTTTATTGGCCGAAAATGTTAGCCACGGTTCATCGTGTGGTGAGTCGTTGTTCTACTTGTCAAAGAGCAAAAATGGTGTTTCACAAAGGTCTCTACAAGCCCTTGCCAATTCCCGAAAGACCTTGGGAAGATGTTAGTATGGATTTTATTGTAGCTTTGCCTAGAACTCAAAGAGGCAAGGATTCAATAATGGTGGTGGTTGATCGGTTCTCAAAAATGGCTCACTTCATTCCTTGCCATAAAACTGAAGATGCAATGAAAGTGGCTAAGTTATATTTTGAAGAGGTGGTTCGTTTTCATGGGGTGCCACGCACCATTGTGTCGGATCGTGATACTAAGTTCCTAAGTCATTTTTGGAAGTCTATGTGGCGTTTGATGGGAACTAAGTTGCTGTTTTCTACCTCACATCATCCACAAACTGATGGTCAAACGGAGGTGGTGAATAGAATACTTGGTTCGTTGCTTAGGGCTTTGGTGAGCAAAAGTACCAAAGATTGGGATAATAAGCTTGCTCATGCCGAGTTTGCTTATAATAGGACACCTAGTGCTACTACAAAGTATTCTCCTTTTGAAGTAGTCTATGGCGTCAATCCTTATGTTCCCATTGATCTTATTGCTTTGCCAAAAGACAAGTTCGTTCATGGTGGGGCAAAGGAGCAAGCCGAGTTCATGCTTAAAGTCCATAAAGAAGTTCGAAGAAACATTGAAAAGGCAAATGAAATCTACAAGAAACAAGCCAACAAACGAGTGCGAAATGTGAAGTCTTTTGAAGTTGGGGACTTGGTGTGGATTTACATGAGGAAAGAACGTTTTCCTAGCAAAAGGAAGAACAAGCTTATGCCAAGAGCCGAGGGTCCGTTTGAGGTCATGGAAAAGATCAATGACAACGCATACAAAGTTGATTTGGGAGGCCAATATGGTGTCTCAAGTACATTCAACATTGGTGATCTTGCTCCTTACTTTGATGATGACGAATTGAGGGCAATTCCTTTTGAAGAAGGGGAGGATGACCAAGATGGTCAAGGGTCAATCATCCATGGTCAAGATAAGGAAGTCCAAAACGGTGCTAGTGAGCAAGGTACTGATGGAATCTTTTTGTCCAAATCATTCTTCAATCCAATGCACGGTTTTAGTCCAAAGAGTTTAACAAATGGTTACACTTCTCTTAGTGTAACTAATCTTGTTGAAGGCATCTAGTTAAACTGATGGAATCTTTTTGTCCAAATCATTCTTCAATCCAATGCACGGTTTTAGTCCAAAGAGTTTAACAAATGGTTACACTTCTCTTAGTGTAACTAATCTTGTTGAAGGCATCTAGTTAATGTGTCGTTTTTCCAAGCTTGAAGCCACGCATGATTGATGCATTTGAGAGTTACATTGGACTGATTATGAAGGCGTGATTCAAGGCTTGTGTTGGGCGTGAATTAAGGCATTGGTTGGCTGATTATTCTACCTCTTTACTTGGGGGTTATTTGTACTTAATTAGAGAGTTGTTGCTGGAATAAAGGAGCTTGAATCAAGGGTTTAAATGGGAGGTTACAAGCGTGACTCAAGGGGGCTGTTTGCACGTTTCTTGGACGTTGAAGATGCTCTTTGAAGACTTCATGTTTGCTGAACGTTTCCTCTTTAATTTAAGCATAGTTTTAAGCTTAATTGAGTAGTTTTATTTTGTTGTTATGAGGGATTAATTGGACGGTTATATGAGCCTCTTAATCACCTTATAGTTAGTATCTTATTTTGTCTTTTAAATTAGGCAAGTGATGGATGATCATTAAAAGTTGTAAAGAGGAATCCCATGTTCCTTTATGTAACTTATACACTACTATAAATAGTGTGCTATGCATGAATGAAAAGTATCCAGAAATTTGCTTAAACACTTGTGTTTTGATTGATTAAACGTGACTTAGTAACTAGTCATTTTTAAGGTCCAAGTTTGTTAGCTCAAATTTGAAGAGTGCTAGTTTTGGTAGAGTGTTCCCAAACCTAGGAGCTTGCGTAGTGAACGAGTGGGTTGAGTGTTCCCTATTCCTAACTACACCAAGCAAAGGGTGAGTGTTCCCCTTTGTTATATCCGAAGCTAGGGTGAGTGTTCCCCTATTTTCACCTTCATTGTTCACGATTTCACTAAGACCCCTTAACACATACTTTTGTAACAAGGTTCTCATCTTGTTTACACATCAATACCCCCTCCCGAATATGGGTTGATGGATTTAAAAATACTTATAGTTAGAATACTCAAATATCATGGAACAAGATAAAAGGGCCAAAACTCAAGGACACACTCAAAGTTTTGGGGTTTTAGGCCAGAGATAAGACTCACTCAATCTCTCCTAAGCTTATCACTCAAGACTCACTCAAAGCAATAAGGGAACACTTGAACTTGAGACAAACTCTAAGTTAAAATGCTATAAACACAAGGTTTTTTTATCAAATCTTAAAACTCTCCTTAATTTCTGTTTTGCTCTCCCTTTTATAGAGGAAAGGAGCAGCAAAAGCACACCAAAAGCCAAGGAAACCGTCCAAGAATGAAAGGCCAACAGCCAATGGTTTCCTCCTTGATTTAAGCCTTGATTTAAGCTAAGTAATGAAAGCATAATAAAGCCTATTGATAACCCCCCATTACAACCGGCCAAGAGCTAGATTCTTGGCATTATTTCAGCAACATTAACTAGCACATAAGTTAATAATAGATAGTAAATGGCCTAGGATCCACACGCCCAAAATAGTCATGAAATGCGTCCAAAATGTGATGCTAGCCAACCGTGTACCAATCTTCAATCTTCCCATGAAATGCAGCATATAATTTCACCCTTCTTTCTGAATGGGAAAAACCCAAGAGTCTCTAAGACTAAAGCAACAGGTTCATTAGATGTCCACTTTGGATCATAAACACATTCAAACAAAGCTATTTGAATCAAATGAGAGTCAAATACATTCAAACAAAGCTAATTAAATCAAATAAAAGTCAAACACATTAAAACAAAGCTAATTGAATCAAATGTAAGTCAAATACATTCAACAAAGCTAATAGAATCAAATGAAAGTCAAACACATTCAAACAAAGCAAATTGAATCAAATGAAAGTCAAACACATTCAAACAAAGCTATTTTAATCAAATGAAAGTCGAATACATTCTACAAAGCTAATTGAATCAAATAAAAGTCAAACACATTCAAACAAAGCTATTTGAATCAAATGAGAGTCAAACACGTTGAAACAAAGCTAATTAAATCAAATAAAAGTCAAATACATTCTACAAAGCTAATTGAATCAAATAAAAGTCAAACACATTCAAACAAAGCCTTTTAAATCAAATAAAAGTCAAACACATTCAAAAAAAGCTTTTTAATTTAAATGAAAGTCAAACACATTCAAACAAAGCTATATAAATCAAATGAAAGTGAAATGCAATCTACAAAGCAATTTGAATCAAATGAAATTCAATCACATTCAAACAAAGCTATTTGAATCAAATGAAAGTCAAATACATTCTACAAAGCTAATTGAATCAAATGAAACTCAAACACATTCAAACAAAGCTGTTTGAATCAAATAAGAGTCAAACATGTTCAAACAAAGCTAATTAAATCAAATAAAAGTCAAATACATTCTACAAAGCTAATTGAATCAAATGAAAGTAAAAAACATTCAAACAAAGATATTTGAATCAAATGAAAGTCAAATACATTCTACTAAGCTAATTGGATCAAATGAAAGTCAAACACATTCAAACAAAGCTATTTGAATCAAATGAAAGTCAAATACGTTCTACAAAGCTAATTGAATCAAATAAAAGTGAAACACATTCAAACAAAGCTATTTGACTTAAATGAGAGTCAAAAACTTTCAAACAAAGCTAATTAAATCAAATAAAAGTCAAATACATTCTACAAAGCTAATTAAATCAAATGAAAGTCAAACACATTCAAACAAAGCTAATTGAATCAAATGAAAGTCAAATACATTCAACAAAGCTAATAGAATCAAATGAAAGTCAAACACATTCAAACAAAGCAAATTGAATCAAATGAAAGTCAAACACATTCAAACAAAGCTATTTTAATCAAATGAATGTCAAATACGTTCAACAAAGCTAATTGTATCAAATGAAAGTCAAACACATTAAAATAATGCTATTTGAATCAAATGAAAGTCAAACGCATTGAAACAAAGTTATTTAAAT